AGGAAATCGAGGTCTGAATCAATTGCAACTCCTACACTTGGTGGTTTCAAGTTTGATGCATCTGCGAACAAAAACAACTCATCTAAAACTGACACATATGGGTTATGTACAATCCACTACAAATGCTCAAATTCATCTCGCGCAGGCGCATAGATCCGTGAAACCAATCTTTGGCGGTTTTGAAGCGTAAAAATTATCTCCGCAAATCTGCATGCAGGGCATCACAATCATGACAAGTCTTTCTCTCCATTCTATTCCGTTCTCCATTCATTGTCACGACATTCATGAAAAAACATAACAACTCATGAAACATCCATATAAATCCCTTTTTCCATCCTCTATCCTGCAACTTTAAAAGATTCCGGGAGCGGCCTTTTGAAAGTCCCTCCACGTGACCTCCATCGCATCCACGGTTAGGGCCTCGCAGGTCCTTGCAGGTCCAAACAAAGAAAAACATGTAAAACGAAAACATTACCATCTGGTTATTTAACATAGCCATGGAAAGATCCACCCATTTTATAGCTAGGTAAACCATCTATAAATGGACCATTTTCCATGGCTATGTTAAATAACCAGAGGGTATTTGCAATCCACTCAAGGTGCTCACAGTATCTCACACGCATCTGGCGCAGCCGGGCTGCAAGGCAATACAAGGCAATAGACCCCTGAGATCAATTCTTGGCAGTTTCGAGATGCAAGAATAATCTCCACAAACCTGCATGTTTTAGAGCATGACAAGTCTTTATCTCCATTCCGTTCCGTTCTCCATTCATTCATTTGTTCATTCATTCGTTCGTTCATTTTATTCGTTCATTCATTCATTTATTCATTCGTTCATGCATTAATTCGTTCATTCATCACTCATGCATGGCAAATCGTGACAATCATGACAAATCCATCATATAAATCCCCTTGTTTCCATCCTGTAACTCCAAAAGACTCCGGGAGCGCCCTTTTGAAAGTCCTATGCATGACCTCCATCGCATCCATAAGCGCCTGGAAGGTCCAGGATGAAACGGGTCCAGCGTGTGGCTATGCCCATGCAAAAGGAAAAAGAAGTCGTTTCCGATGAGTCCTTCAAACTTAGGCTGTGCTATCTCATGGTGACTTTTAGGGGGTCTCCAATTTTGATCAATTTTGGGGAGCACAAACCTGTCTCCCATATGTCTTTCATGTCACGCCTTTTTGCTCGACTCAACCAATTGGATCGTAGTTGAGGAGGAATCGCAGCAGTGAATCTCTGTACAATGAGTGACTTCTATAGTGCCCAATCATGCCCAATCCACAACTTCATGTGAGGCACGAGCAAGAGGCCACTCCAAGAATTCACTGCTGAATGCAGATATTTGTCCGATCAAAAGCAAACCAACTTGACACGAAGGCATCGTTGTAAACTCACAGCTACAAGTTGTTGCGTTTCATTCATAGTGTGTAGTTGTTGCTACACTTCTTGGAAAAGATGTCGAAGACATGGCGATTCCGCATTTGTTCAACTTTCATCCCAAATGTCTATTGTTAAGGGCAGCTTTGATATTGCCGTGCATCTATGGCGAAGAATCCAAAAATGAAGCCCAGGTAAACCTGGCAACACTGAAAAATCATGAAAAATCATGAAAAATCATGAAAAATCAACAAATTGAATCAATTAATTTGATACAATTTGGGTTGCAACTCTGAAGCATTCAAATCTATTCAGTATCATGAGAACTGATAGTTTCATGAGATTGGTAGTAGACATCCATAAGTCTATCGAATGGCATGGACTTATAAGATGTTCCCACATGAATTGTCTACTGTCCAGTACGAGTAGGGTGTTGTTCAATCTTGGTTGCAGTGTCAAACTGTAAAGAAATTGAGCATTGGTTGGTGCCACCATCAGTTCGAATCACGATCAAGTTGTGCCTGCACAAGATCGAAAATTTCCGATGCTGTCTGTCTTGACGTCCATGAGGGGAAAAATCAAAAAAAACAAATATGAGAGTATGACTGGACACTTGTTCATTGTAGCTGGCAACACGGTAAATCAAACTCCTCATGCAAAGAACAAGCCATACAGCAATCATCGCAGACGCAGCACCAAGTGGAGGGTGGACTCCTTCTGGATGTTGTAATCCGAAAGGGTGCGGCCATCCTCCAGCTGCTTGCCAGCAAAGATCAGGCGCTGCTGATCAGGTGGGATCCCCTCCTTATCCTGGATCTTGGCCTTGACATTGTCAATGGTGTCACTTGCCTCAACGTCGAGGGTGATGGTCTTGCCGGTCAGGGTCTTCACAAAGATCTGCATGCCACCTCGCAAGCGCAAGACCAAGTGGAGGGTGGACTCCTTCTGGATGTTGTAATCCGAAAGGGTGCGGCCATCCTCCAGCTGCTTGCCAGCAAAGATCAGGCGCTGCTGATCAGGTGGGATCCCCTCCTTATCCTGGATCTTAGCCTTGACATTGTCAATGGTGTCACTTGCCTCAACGTCGAGGGTGATGGTCTTGCCCGTCAGGTCTTCACGAAGATCTGCATGCCACCTCGCAAGCGCAAGACCAAGTGGAGGGTGGACTCCTTCTGGATGTTGTAATCCGAAAGGGTGCGGCCATCCTCCACTGCTTGCCAGCAAAGATCAGGCGCTGCTGATCAGGTGGGATCCCCTCCTTATCCTGGATCTTGGCCTTGACATTGTCAATGGTGTCACTTGCCTCAACGTCGAGGGTGATGGTCTTGCCCGTCAGGGTCTTCACAAAGATCTGCATGCCACCTCGCAAGCGCAAGACCAAGTGGAGGGTGGACTCCTTCTGGATGTTGTAATCCGAAAGGGTGCGGCCATCCTCCAACTGCTTGCCAGCAAAGATCAGGCGCTGCTGATCAGGTGGGATCCCCTCCTTATCCTGGATCTTGGCCTTGACATTGTCAATGGTGTCACTGCCTCAACGTCGAGGGTGATGGTCTTGCCCGTCAGGGTCTTCACAAAGATCTGCATGCCACCTCGCAAGCGCAAGACCAAGTGGAGGGTGGACTCCTTCTGGATGTTGTAATCCGAAAGGGTGCGGCCATCCTCCAGCTGCTTGCCAGCAAAGATCAGGCGCTGCTGATCAGGTGGGATCCCCTCCTTATCCTGGATCTTGGCCTTGACATTGTCAATGGTGTCACTTGCCTCAACGTCGAGGGTGATGGTCTTGCCGGTCAGGGTCTTCACAAAGATCTGCATGCCACCTCGCAAGCGCAAGACCAAGTGGAGGGTGGACTCCTTCTGGATGTTGTAATCCGAAAGGGTGCGGCCATCCTCCAGCTGCTTGCCAGCAAAGATCAGGCGCTGCTGATCAGGTGGGATCCCCTCCTTATCCTGGATCTTGGCCTTGACATTGTCAATGGTGTCACTTGCCTCAACGTCGAGGGTGATGGTCTTGCCCGTCAAAGTCTTCACAAAGATCTGCATGCCACCTCGCAAGCGCAAGACCAAGTGAGGGTGGACTCCTTCTGGATGTTGTAATCCGAAAGGGTGCGGCCATCCTCCAGCTGCTTGCCAGCAAAGATCAGGCGCTGCTGATCAGGTGGGATCCCCTCCTTGTCTTGGATCTTGGCCTTGACATTGTCAATGGTGTCACTGGCCTCGACGTCGAGGGTGATGGTCTTGCCCGTCAGGGTCTTCACGAAGATCTGCATGCCACCTCGCAAGCGCAGCACCAAGTGGAGGGTGGACTCCTTCTGGATGTTGTAATCCGAAAGGGTGCGGCCATCCTCCAACTGCTTGCCAGCAAAGATCAGGCGCTGCTGATCAGGTGGGATCCCCTCCTTATCCTGGATCTTGGCCTTGACATTGTCAATGGTGTCACTTGCCTCAACGTCGAGGGTGATGGTCTTGCCGGTCAGGGTCTTCACAAAGATCTGCATGCCACCTCGCAAGCGCAAGACCAAGTGGAGGGTGGACTCCTTCTGGATGTTGTAATCCGAAAGGGTGCGGCCATCCTCCAGCTGCTTGCCAGCAAAGATCAGGCGCTGCTGATCAGGTGGGATCCCCTCCTTATCCTGGATCTTGGCCTTGACATTGTCAATGGTGTCACTTGCCTCAACGTCGAGGGTGATGGTCTTGCCCGTCAAGGTTTTCACGAAGATCTGCATGGCTTGTTTATCTGCGAATTTCTATCCTTGAAACTTACCCCTCGCGAAGGATTGGATGTGTGTGTGCTTTGGTTGGAGCCGAAACGTCAAGGGATGGCTCTGCCAAAATGACCAAATGCAGATTGTCCCATTCGGCGTCCTGAACCCATGTGAATGTCCATGGCCATTCCAAGAATAACTGCAGTGCTGCAGTGACAAAACCAGTCAAACACTGTCAAATCATATATCAGGACTTCAAAATCTTGCAAAAGTGTCAGCGGATAAGGTCGATGAAGAAATCATGGTCCGCCTTCTGGATGTGCTCGATCTTCAGGGAGGTTTGCGACAGTCAGGCCTCTCAGTAAATTCAAGTGCCCAGTCAACATGTCTATAGTCATTGCGTTCTGGGGATTGAATGGGAACAGAATATAACGTTGGCAAATACTCAGGGTTCAGAAAGGCTGGTGATTTTTGAGTATGCCTCACAGATGAATGCCCCTGGCAAGTTCTATCTGCATGATGCGAACAACGACAAGAACAACAAGACGAAAAGTACTTCCCAGAGCCTTTTCTGCAAACAAATTTGCTATGAGTTGCTGATGTGATTCCTAAATTGATGGATCCCTGTGGGAAGCACCATAGAACATGAGGAAAATCTCACCGACCCGTTGTGACATCCGGTGACCCGGATTGACCCGCTGCGCGGCTCAGTTTTTGCCGTTGGGGATGTCAGCTCTTGAGGAGAAACAACGTACCGTTTTTCTTTAGCTTCCATACAAAACAATGCACTAACATGCACTAACCATAGATCACAAAATGAGATGTTCATGTCGTAATCACGACATGCATTCAACATTTGTTCGACCCAGTGAATCAACACGGGGATGTCGCAGCTTGGCACCGGACCATGTAGGACCTCACAAGATGGATCGGACCTTCTCTGCCTGCTGGCAATCACGAGCAATGGATGGGTCAACATGTTGTGGATCGGGACATAATTTTTTTTGAGTGAATTCTAGTTTCTAAGGGAACGAATACAATTAACTAGATGCATTGTTATTCGCAGAAAGTGTTTAGGTGTCTAGTGGATCGTGGCCAAATGCTTGCATATATATATATATATATATATGATTATATATGCACCTTTCTCAATTCGTACCTTATACTTTTGGTAAACTCGTCTTGAGCTGTGCATGATGACCAGTGACCTAAAGTCTCGCAAATTGTGGCTGCAAAATCGAGACTTTCAGAACACTTGTGAGTTCCAAATACCAAAATGCTCCATGTATATTGACAAACAAGCATCCTAAAACCACCCAATGAATGGTAGGTAAATAATGGCAATGTAAATGTAACATAGAAATACGTGGAACATATTGGATACTTGAAAATATTCAATCAAGTTGTACCGCCGCATCATGCTCAACAAAATCAAGTAACTGCTTGTCGTTGCACTTTGCTGCCAGCTATGCCAGCATTCACCAGCCTTGCACGTGCCCCCAGTTGGACGGTTTGTTTTTGGGGTGAAGATCCAACAGTTCCTTGGCTGAAAATTATCAGGAAGTGCTAAATGCATGGAGTTTTCATGGAATGGGGGTACCTCCATTTCTCATCCATTTTAATAGAATGTTCAGTTATTTTCATCATCCATTTTGGGGTACCCCATTTTCGGAAACCCCCAAATTTGCGTCAACTGAAGAGGTACCGACCTGGAAAGCATGTGACATGCTGAACCTCTTGACCCACACTCTGTTTACCACAATCAGTCCGATCCCGACATAGTGGGAACAGCCCCTGGGAACCAACTGGCAAGGCACTCCACTGCACAGGCTCTTGCTTTCTCATCAGTGGCAAGGAAGGATCGTAGCTCTGCAGGCATTTCCTGGCACCGATTTTTTGCATCACCGGATTGGCTTCACGGGAATTGAAACCGGAACCCCCCATAATAATGGTGTTTTACCCATGGGTTTCCGGTTATGATTTTCCCTTAAACCAATGACAACAGTTTCTCTACACAACTCGCTGTGGGTCAATCAAGGTCGCTCCTATCACCAAAGATACTTTTGGGTGGTAATGTTGAATGAACAAAGAGGACACAAAAAACAAAAAGAAAACCCAGGTGTCCCGTCATTTACCTATATATTATGGTGTGGAGCAAGCCTGACAATTGATGTACCCCTAGTTTATTGAATTGGGGTACCAACCTTACTAAGACTAGTATTGTTTTAATACTAGGTAACTTTTTTGGGGGACCCTCATAATTAAGAAACTGGGGGGTTATTGATCCGGGTTAACATCAAATCATCAATAATCATCCCATCTTCAAAAATGAGCGGCGTTCAAACCTTCTTTCATCCCTTTGTACTGGTTGGTTGGTAAGGAAACTCCCAGTTCATGGACTGTTACAAGCCCCAATATACCAAGGATAAGGTGAGTGACCCCCGAAGAAATCATCAACCAACAGGTGAACACTGCTCGCTTCTCATAAGCTGGGGCCCCCAAGTAAATTTGTTGGTTTATAAACCCCATTATCTATAGAATAAGCATGAACCATACTTAGCTCCGTCATAAACATCATAAACAAATCATAAACCAATTTTGCTATCTAATATCCCCATGTTTGCTGGTTGAAACCCATATCTAATGGTGATTTTCCCTATTTCTGTTATCACAAACAGGCCTCTGCTAGGTGGCACAAGATCTGCAGCCCACTTCGCCGCCCCGCGGTCGATTGGACCGCCAGCGGCAGCAGCTGCAGGAAGTGCGACGTATGCGGCAGCGTTGCCACCGGAAAACCTGAAGCCCAAGCAGTGATGAGATTGAGTGGTTATGTGGTGGTTATCTGGTTTCAACCTCTATCGATTTTTTTTTAATGTTTTGAGTTAAAAAAACATGTGGAAGGTATAATTGTGTAATTATCCCAAATATCTTACTAGTTGGTGGTATACCTACCCCTCTGAAAAATATGAGTTCGTCAATGGGAAGGATCATCCCATATATGAAATGGAAAATCATAAAAATCATGTTCCAAACCACCAACCAGCTTATCTATATATACTGTTACTATAGATGATCTTTGGAGGATCCATGTTGGTGCACACACCTTCCCTCGCACACCTTGCTTTCGACAGCAGCCAAGTAGAGACTCGTGTGCCAGCAGCACAGCCTTGTGACAGCAAAGCATGTTTCCACAGTTTATGGGGAACCACCCATGGTATGAGGAAAGTGAACGAAAGTGATAACTTGGGGCTACCCATGTGAGTATGTGGTTTGTGGGATGTATGCCGCAGGTGCCCCTATATCATGTTTCTAATCATGGCAAGAGGTCATTTGTTCACCGTGCGGATCATGGGAAGAGAACAATCTAAACCCAGCACCATAGAGAGGCAATTCATCTAATCTTAACCCATAAGAATCTAACATACCCCAATTTGGAATGTATTTTAGCATACCTTTCCAAACATGATAGCGATCCTCAAAATCCATCAAAATCCTCCAAGCTACCTCCAAGAATGTCTGCATGAGTTTCTCCTTGTCTGGCTGCACACTGGCAGTGTTCGCACTTGGAGACCATGAACGAGGCAAACGAGGCCCAAAGGTAGCTGTCGCCGCACCTGAAAGAGAATGAAATCCGCTGGAAAAGGCCGAAGGGGAACTTCTTCTACAATGTGGCCCCCCACAGTTATAAGTTGGTTTTAACTCCATTAACTATAGTTATAAGATGTTGTAAGTATACTAAACCATGGTTTTTGGAGTTATGTTCACCAACTTAGCTATCGTTTGGGGGCCCCACATCGTAGCTATTAATTACATTGTTTGATCTAGAGGTCTAAGGCATTCAAGGACAAGTTTCTTTTAGTCTGATACTGCCCAACCTTGACCCTCAACTTGATGGTTAGCATTTCAAGCCATGTCCGCAAAATCAGAATGTGGATCAATGTGGTCGAATGTTCATGTAGGCAAGAAGATCCAAAGGCAAAGTGCCATAAAATCAACTATATATAACAATACAGAATCTGACAGTCCGACAAGAACAACCTTTATGTAGCTGTTTAGTAGCTCAGAAGGTGCTTGTTCAGTCTTGGTTCCAGTTTGATAGAGCGATCGCAAAGGGTCAAGACATACTGCAATCAAGTCATGCCGGCATAAGATTTGCTTATAAAAAATAAGATTGTCTGCTTTGAGTCATTGTACCAAGGCCTATTTGGCAAAAAAAAACAATTTGTCCAGAATGTCCATATATGAGCCGTGTCTGACTGCAACGTACTGGAACTACCCGTTTGTCTCAAGTTTCCCTCCTGCAAGGTTTGTCAAATTGTCAAATTCTCCTTGGAGCCAAATGGCAAAGCCAAATGGAAATGGCCTCGGAAAAAGTCATGGTTGTGTTGTATATGAAATGACACAATCTGGTTGGTGGTTTCAACCCCTCTGAAAAATATTAGTCAGTTGGGGTTACTATTCCCAATATATGGAAAAATAAAAAAATGTTCCAAACCACCAAACAGCAATTACAATGAATCGATTGCCTCAAAAGGCAGAGAAGACTCCAAGACCATGCAACTGATGGCCCCATTCATCCCATAGATCTTTGCAGGCCTTGTTGTCTTCCCTTGTCGTTGCATTCCAAGCATGTGAACTCCTGCAATCACGGTCTCATGGACATCTGGTCTATCATGGTCTATCTTTATCTGTTCCTCACAGCAACTTCGGTTGTCCAAAACCAGTACCACAATTTTTAAAATCCACAGATTTTCCTCAGCACACAACTACCAATAAAATAGCTCAACTGATCCCTCTAAAAATCATCCAGACGTGTAGAATTCTTTGAGTCAGAAACTGGCTAAAGCTGTTGATCTCTCTCAGTCCATCCTCCTGCCAAAGACTTGTGACATCTCAGACTTGGTAGATGTGATGGACTGCTGATTGATATTAATGGATATATTATTGCTGGTTGGTGGTTTTAACCATCTTGAAAAATATGAGTTCGTCAATGGGAAGGATGACAACCCATATATGAAATGGGAAATAATAAATGGTTGAAACCACCAACCAGATTGGATCGAGACATGATCTTCTTGTGATTGTTATTCTTATTAACTATCCCATTGAAAACCACTATCTGTAGCAGTTGTAGGCTTTCATCTATCCAAATATCCCCCATTGCATCCCCATTCCTATCATATCCCCAGACAATGGTAGACAATCTTCGTGTCCCGCCCATTAAAAAAAAACAACATATTAATAAATGCTATCCCATTATAAACCCAATAGTTTTCATTAAAGTTGGGTTCACATCCATTCATAGGTGAAGCATTCTCAATGACATCCCATAATGTCATCTCATCATGCGTTCTTGTTGATTGTGGTATTCCCCAATAGATTGGTCAGTACAATCCCCGAACTAATCATTAACCAACCATCATTTATCAGCTGTATCCCCAGATTTTTCACGGTTAAACACCCTACCTGCTAAACCTCGAACTAATCATCAACCAACAAGGGTTTTGACCATTCTCCCCATTGTTTTTAGGGATTCTGTAATGTAATCCCATTTATGGGATAGAGTATCATTAAGAGTATGACTATAATGTTATACCATTCATGTATGGATACTATATACATATATATATAATATGGATAATTGTATTTTCCATTTTGTGGATAGTTCTATTTTCCATTAGGGGATGATAACATATATTATGTAAACCATTCCCCCAAATCATCAAAAATTGGTGGATGATAACTTCCATCAATTGGGATATATAATATGATATATATCATATATATATATGATATATATATATATATATCATATATATAGATGATATATATATATATATATCATTGATGCCATGTTGCCGCTGTGCCCTCCTCCCAGTGTCTCTGCGTCACGTGCCGCAGGACTCCCAATGCTTCCGACAGGCGCGCAGTGCGGCTGCCGTGCACCTATTTGGTGCTGGAAAATATAGAGTTTTCCATGGCTTTAAGATGTTTCTTAGATCTTTTTAGAACCAAAAATCCATGGCTGTTTTGTTTTCAGATGTTTTTAGGAGTTATTTTAGTACCAAAAGTCCATGTGTTTTTTCGTTTTCAGATGCTTTTTAGATGTTTTTAGTACCAAAAATCCATCAAACACATTCTGATTTTCAGCTTTGGCTGTTTAATGTTGTTTTGGGTGCTTTTTACTAAATCCCAAAAACAATCAAATATATTTTAGACGTATTTAGATGTGTTTCTATGTTTTTTCAAATTTTTTAAATATAATCCAATACCAAAATCTGTGGAAAAAAATATGGGGAAACCAGGTAGAAATGTGTTTTTGGATTCTTTCTAGTATCAACATCAATCAACAAAAGTACCAGACATCAAAATGAAAATATGTCCAAACATCTGTCAAACTATGTATATGTCAAACTACATTTCAGAATATATTTCAGGAGAAATGTCCTAACATTTGTCAGAATTTCCGTCACAATGCCAATGCAAGGACATTCGCATCATCACTTTGTCAGAATGTTTGTCTTGCATTTCAAATCAGGTCCCAAGGTCTCAGAGGTTTTGGGTCCATGTCTACCCCAGAGCTATGATTTAGATTTCAATCTTCCAATATAGTCCCTGTATGATTTAGATTTAGATCGCTATTTCGATTTCAAGTACCCTCCATCGGTATCAAATGTGGCGAGCTGGGAACATCATTTTCAAAAAATGGCTGGATTTTCCATGCAGCTGATGACTCAGAAAATCCGGCGTTTTTCCCCAGTTTTCCGCCTGAAAAATGGCAGCCAGAGTTCTGATGGCCAGTTCCGAGCAGCGACTATCAGGATCCGAGAGCAACAGCAGCAGAACGTCCATGGCGTCGCAGCTGAAGGTGTCACCCATGGCCTGGTGGATGGTACTTGGAGAGTCCATTGAGTTCGATTGACCTGGAACAGATGGTGACTTTCCATCGTGAACTGCGAAATGACACAAAGGTGAGCCACTGTGAAAAATCACACCAAAGAGATGTATATGTGTCTTGTCCAACACTAAATGACAAACACTGTTCACCAAAATGGTGATAAGCCCACCCGTTGAAAAACTTCACCGTTGTTTCTTACTCATGCATGAAACAAACACTTAGTTTCCCATAAAAACGATGGGTTAACTCATGATCCCCAATCACCCAGTTAGGTATCAGAGCCATTGGGTGATTTCAGCCTTGATGCTGGTCACTAAGTATATATTTGGTGATTCGCCACCTGCCAGGTGAGGGTTGATAGATTTTATCAGGGCTGTTGTCCTCCTCCTCCTCCTCATCCTCCTCCTCCGCCTCCTCCTCCTCCTCCAGTTTCTCTAGTGTGCACTGCTGGACCTCAACCTGGGACCTTCCCAGCTCAGTGTGCACCGCTGGACGGACCTCAACCTGGGACCTTCCCAGCTCAGTGTGCACCGCTGGACCTCAACCTGGGACCTTCCCAGCTCAGTGTGCACCGCTGGACCTCAACCTGGGACCTGCCCAGCCCAGCGTGCACCGCTGGACCTCAACCTGGGACCTTCCCAGCTCAGCGTGCACCGCTGGACCTCAACGGCCAGATAGAATGCCAGAAGATATGCCAGATAGAATGTCAGATAGATGCCAGATAGAATGCCAGAAGATATGCCAGATAAAATGTTAGAAGATATGCCAGATGGAATGCCAGAAGATATGCCATTACATATGCCAGAAGATATGCCAGGTAGAATGCCAGAAGCTATGCCAGATAGAATGCCAGAAGATTTGCCAGTAACAAAACGTATCCATGTCATGGTGGGGATAACTCGAAGTAAAGTATTTTTTTAACTATTGGGTTAACTCAGTGGCCATGACCCCCTGGCAAACTAACATAACTATGGCAAATCACCATCTTTAATAGGTAAATGAACTATAAATGGGCAATTTTCAGTAGCGAATTGTTAAATTACCAGAGGGTAACTAAGTTGGTTCTAACCCCCATGAATACGATATATGATAGTTATTATCCTTATTATTAATTAACGATATTCATTATAGTTATGACTTTTCATGGCCACTGGGTAGAGCCTTGACCACATCTGCCATCGCCGCCAGTGCGGCTTCGCAAACCTCCGGCAGCGAAGAACTTCGCGCAGCTGCCAAGAGATAGGGCCACAGCCGCAGGATGGAGGCCTGGGGTCCAGGTCCATCGAGCCAAGAGGTAACTATATCTTATACATAATGGTAACTATAAAATGACTATATATATATATATATAGTCATTATATGTGTATGTATATACACGATGATTTGAATAATAATGTTATATATATATATATACATATAAAAGAAAGGACATATGCATATAAGGTAACTAGACCCTATATATGGACCACATGGGAATGGTGACTTGAATAATGATAACTATGAACTACAAACATGACTGATGCGAATGGACTTATTTAGGTTATCGGACCTAAATATGTAGTTCCATTGAAAGTACCAGTGTTTCCAAGTATTCCCCAAACATAGATCTGTTTAAACTGTTTAAACATGGTTCCAGCATCAACCAATCCGAAAATATGTTCCATACTGCTCAGTGGATACGGATATATACGGATGGTATATTTAAATATCAAACAAAAACTACCACCAACATAAAATGGTGCGGACAATATGTGAAATAATGGTAATCAAAGCTCATATCGAGCATATGGGAATGGGAACCAGCTGGCTTTGGTGGTTTTGAATTGGTTACAATTCTCTGAGAAGTGGGGCTGTTGGGATTGAAATCGCCAACCCACACTACTGTGCTACTCACAGAAACCTGCGCAGTGTTGATTTCGGATCGCTAATTTATATGTTTTCACATGCATAAGTGCATATTCACATCCAAACGCGGATGAAAGTCAATGGCATCATACTGCCAAAGATACCAGTAGTGCCACACAAGGCGGCGGCGGAAGTTTCAAGGATAGGACACTATAGGAGAGGTAAATTGTTGCGTGCATGGATGGCAGAGCGAATCCACTGATGGACCGAAAGGTGGTTGGAGTTGTGCTTTTTGAGGTGGCTGCAATGGTTGCAGTGGTCACCTCACTCACAACTCCTGGATGTAGTGTGGTGTAGTGCAGCTGCAGTTGAAGTTGTAGCTGTAGTGGGATTGATGCTGTTGAAGTTGTAATGTTGTAGTTGTAGTTGTAGTGTAGTTGAAGTGCATTTGAAGCTGTAATTCTCTTAATTTTAGTAATTGAACTTGTAGTAGTTGCAATAGTTAAAAGAGTTGTAGTTGTAGTTGTCACTGTAGTTGTAGTGTAGTTGTTGTTGTAGTGTAGCTGTATTTGTAGTTCTAGTTGTAGTTGTAGTGTCGTGGTAATTGTAGTTGTAGTAGTAGTAGTAGTAGTAGTAGTAGGAGTAGGAGTAGCAGTAGCAGTAGCAGTAGCAGTAGGAGTAGGAGTAGGAGTAGGAGTAGGAGTAGGAGTAGGAGTAGGAGTAGTAGTAGTATTAGTAGTAGTAGTAGTAGTAGCAGTAGTAGTAGTAGTAATAGTAGTAGTAGTAGTAGCAGTAGTAGTAGTAGTAGTAGCAGTATCAGTATCAGTAGTATAGTTGAAATTGAAGTTGAAGTTGAAGTTGTAGTTACAGTTGCAGTTGTAGTTGTAGTGTAGCTGGAGTTGTAGTTGTAGTCGCACCTGTAGTTGCAGTTGCAGTTGTGTGTAGTTGTAGTAGTTGTTGCAGTTGTAGTGGCACTTGTAATTTTAGTTGTAGTAAATGTAGTTGAGATTGTAGTAGCTGTGGTTGTAGCTGTAGTTCTTGTAGCTGAAGTGTAGTTGAAGTTGTAGTTGAAGTGGTAGTATAGTTGTAGTTGTAGATTTTAGGAGGCGCTGATTTCCTGAGAGAGGTTGCATTTTGGAGCATCAGATCTTCAGCTTTGGGAAGATGATTTTGCGTGACAGGTGCAGCACTTTAGAGAGATGGAGTGGAAAAATCGCAAAACGCTTTGGTATGAGGCCGTCGGCTCTGCACTCAACTTTCCATGTTTGAAGGAAGTCTCGTAGAATTGCTTCATTTTTGATGTTGCCAACTTCAAAAATTGAGAAAGTCTGGCAGAATTGCTTAGTTTTTGACGTTGTCAAGTTAAAAAGTTGAGGAATTCTCGCAGAATTGCTGCGTTTTTGATGTTGTCAAGTTCAAAAAATGAGGAAGTCTCGCAGAATAGCTTCATTTTCAAACTTGCAGAGAGAGAGAGATAGATCGATCGATCGATCGATCGATAGATAGATAGATAGATAGATAGTGAAATAGACAGACAGACAGACAGATAAACAGAAAGACAAATAGATAAACAGATGTATAAAAATAGACAGATAGATCGACAACTGCAACTGCACCACACCACTGTACAACGATGAACATGTCTCTTGTACTGCGCTAGTGCGCCTGCCAGGCGACATGCATCTTTGCAGATCCTCTGCAAATGCCCCACGCCTGCCTTCGGTTTTGGAAATGCTACAAAACCATCACGCTTTGTTCACTTTTGTCCAGGTGCACAATCCCTTGCGCTTGCCACGCAAAATCACATCTGAACCTTCAAAAGTGGTCCGGGCATGTTGTGTTTTTAACATGTTGACTTGGAAATGTGCTTCGCGCCACAACCGCGTACACTTTCAGCATCTCTACATTTTGACTTCGAAATGTGCTTCGCGCCACAACGGCGTGCACTTTTTCGACATCTCAACTTCCAAAAGTGCTCCGAGACCATCAGTTTTTAACACTTTTGACTTTGAAATGTGCTTCGCGCAACAACAGCGTGCACTTTTTCGACATCTCAAGAGAAACACAAGTGTTTCGCGACTTTCCTACCTTTGCACGCACCTGCATCTTCTTTTTTCTGACTCTTTCTCTTCTCTGATCGTCTCTCTTCTTCTCTTCTCTTCTCTTCTCTGACTCTTCCCACCTCTGATTTTCCATCTGTCCATATTGTCGGAAGTTTGACTTCTAAACTTCCTTCGATGATAGATTACACGCTAATGTAAATTTATATTCACAGCTCTCATCTCAAAGTCGAAGCCCCTGTGAGCATCTCACAGTCATTGAACTGGTGCTGGAATGGATGACCTGTCGACATTTTCTGGGAATTCGGGGGCGCCTCGTCGCGCGTTCGCGCCAAAGAACCAATGGCGCGGAGCGCTTCCTACGTGGCGCCATAGTGATGAGACCGGGGCAATGCTGTTTCCTCCAGTCATGAATGCTCCTTTAAATAATTATAAAGATCAAAAGAGTTTACCAAGTTTACCATTTACATCCATTTACCAGGTCAATCTCAGGGTCAATCCCCGCATGTCAAAAGGCAAGTTCTTCTTCTTGTGCCTTGCCGGTCTTAGATACCCAGGAAAAAAAGCAGACGATTTCTTTTGGGCTACCCTCCGGTGTCTCAACATGGCTTTGGAAAATGACCATGTCCAAAAAAAGGTCCATCTTCAAGCGATAAATGAGGCATGGTTTCCATGGCAAGAAATCACCAACGAGTTATCTTCGATTATGGATTCTGGATTATATTACGGATATGTATATATATATATATGTTATAATATGGTTGAATTATGTTTAATGGATTATAGCTGAAATGTTGGGCCATTTCATTTGGGATGATTCCCTTTGCCAAGCATCATTCCTTACATTTATGGTTGGTGAGAACACCATGAAAATCCATTAGCCGTAGATGTTACATCAATTAACATCCAAATATATATATACATACATATATATATATAAATAGAATACAAATCATCTTGATGTTTAATGGAACACATCAATACATTAACTAATGGACTGTAGATATAACATGATCTAACGTCCATTAACATCCACTCACGTCCATATCCAGGAAGATCATAATTAACCATCAATCACCATTCACCATCATCATTAACCCGTAGTAAAAGAGGGACAACAACTTGAACCCTTCACCACTTCACCATCATTAACCATTCACCATCATTCACCATCTTTAGAACATCCATAAGTATCATCACCCATCATGAAAAATCATCATATTCTGGGACACCTCCATCATTCAGAATCATTCATCATCACCCACCATCTGACATCCATCCAATCTTAGGCATCCAACGGCATCCACCTTCGCGCAGCAGACGCAGCGGACCTCCTCAGTAGGTTCCAAGTGTAAGGTGCCTGCCAGCAGCTCGGCCACCTGCGAACTGTTGATCTCAGCGTTGCGCAGCAGGAGCACGCGGAGACAACGCAACAAACCTAATGGCCAAAATGGCTGGAACATTGTGAACACATGTGAAAACACATGTGAAAAAACTGGTGAAACATCTTGAAACATGCTGAAAAATGTGGTGTATTTTTGGGAAAACTGCGAATAAACTGACTTAAAGTCAAAAGAGATCTTTGAGGCAAGTTGTTTAACACAAACATTCACGGGCAATGTCTACTTGCGGTACAGTTCAATGGGTTTATTGCCATTGATTGCACAATTCAGATTGCTTGTGGTTGAGTTGGATGAACATCTAGTTTGTTCATGATGGTTAATGGACACTGAAGTAACAAATAACTACTTTTTCTTCGGATTTTGGATGGTTTGGATGTTCTTTGCGGCGTTGATAGAGATTTGTCTTTTGTGGTCTTTTGGTGATGCGAATGGTGATTTAGACATTTGTTCATGGGAATTTTGATGATCTTGTGGTGTTCCTTGGAGGTCGGAGGCATAGTACGAGGGTTTGTATTTTTGGAAGAACGCCATTCCATTTGTGTTTAGGACTGCGAACCACCATTCATAGCATGATGAAAAGTATACTATTAATTAAAAAACAGATCAAACATGTATAAACATGTTCAACCATCAACCACCCATCATCCCCTTGTTTCTATCCCCAGCTTCGCCATGCTTCGCCCAGGCGCTCCGCACAGGCGCTGCGTGTTGACCAAGCTCCGCAGCAATGCGGCGTAGCACTTCGGTGAGGACCAGCTGCATCTGAGGCAGGCAGTCCTGCGAGGTAAGCGAGGTCCTGCTTCCAGGTGATTGGAACGTCGATTTCAGCAACAAGAATAGACATAAATGGTGGGTGATTTGATGGTGATTTTTCACGGAGATTTGATGGGTTGGTTTTGTGCAGGTAAAACAAGGCAACCAGTTGACTCGCCGCCCTTGTAAGGGTGACAAATTTGAAGTTGAGATTTTCGAGGCCAAGAGACGAAATGCTGGTATTTGTGGGACTTGTCAAACAATGTTTGCAACATGGACATTCATTTCGATTGGCAGGCGTGTGACTCAAGTGTCAAAAATTGCGTTTCGCCTGCGCAATGAATCGATTTTGTTAATTTTGTTCTTCGAGGGCTGGAAAAAAATCAAGTACCCCATGCAAACATCCACCCATCCATGTCTTTTCTCTTCTCGAAGCCTCAGTGCCAAGAGTGCTTTCGGCAACGCCACGGCCACAGACTCCAACAAGGCGAACCAAGGCGACATTACGACGCCATGTCCAGCTGTAAGCCCAAAAGTACCTTTTTTATCCTTTTTTGTACACAACGGCAACAAGTTCCGTGGGCCATGTGAAATGCTCGTCAAGAACGTTATCACACCCCCTCCTGATGACCATAAGCGAGCATGTGCAACATGTTTACAACGGCAACAAGTTCCGTGGGCCATGTATAATACTCGTCAGGAACGTTATCACCCACCCCACCGCCCCCCCATGACCATAAGAGAGCATGTGCAACATGTTAACTTAACAGCGGCAACAAGTTCCATGGGCCATGTGTCATTCTTGTCAAGAACGGTATCACCCCCCCACCCTTCCTGATGACCATACGAGAGCATGTGCAATATGCTCACAACGGCAAGAGGTTCCGTGGGCCATGTATAATACTCGTCAGGAACGTTATCACACACCCCCCCACCCCGCCTGATGACCCTACGAGAGCATGTGCAACATGTTCACAACGGCATAACAAGTTCCGTGGGCCATGTATAATATTCGTCAAGAACGTTATCACCTCTCACACCCCCCACCCCCTTGATGAACATAAGAGAGCATGTGCAACATGTTGAACAAAGCCGATATTCAAATCCTGAACCCACATTTTCCTAAACTTCATGTTTCAAATTTGCTACCCTTCCACGGGATCGTAAATGGCACATCTCCAAATAAGCTACCCTTCCAAGGGCGGCGTATCAGCCGCATGCCTAAAACAACCACGGTTGGACTGGGTGTAAACTCGCATCCATCAAGGGGACAGAGCACGTCCAACACGGTTTGGTCAACGCAACTCATGTTTTCTGTGTGTTCACAGCAGGAAGTCTCATAGTGTAGCAGTGTAGCATCGTAGCATCAAGTATGTGCGCAAGTGCAAGAGAAGGTCTCACACCATAGCATCAAATATCTCTGCAAGTGCAAGAAAAGGACTCATAGCGAAGCATTCAATATCTCTGCAAGTGCAAGAGAAGGTCTCATAGCGTAGCAACAAGTATGCATGTGTTCAAGTTCAAGAGATGGTCCCATAGCGTAGCAGCGTAGCATCAAGTATGTGTGCAATTGCATTGGAACAAGTCCAACTATGCGTGCAAGTGAATATGAACATTATTGTCCCACCGCACCCCACCCAAACGCTGTAGAACTGTGGCTAAAGTCCATACCGCGCCTCCATGCAAAGTTGAGAAAACACAGTGCATGTTCATTCTGTCCGAGGGAACAACCACATGGGACTAGTTGGGTGTACCTGAGACGGTGGTGATATGGTGATGATATTTTTTTGATCATGAAATCTGAGTATACATCATCATTATATTATAGTGTTCACTCTTACCATGTCAAACATTAACATTGTATTAATAGACCATTCATACGTCGTCATCATCATCATCATTTATAGTATGTATACAGACTGCTATGCATATTCTGAGTCTTTTGATGAGTTATGAGCTACTGTGTTTCCGACTACAACAAACAAAGTCATTCTTGCCATTGCCATTCCGTGCTGTGTATAGTTCCTATGAAAGAAAAAAGAGAACACACACACACACATTTTTTGAGATGGGAGAAGTTTGCCATGTTTTCATGATGATTACCCTAACTAGGTGGCCAGCACTAATCAATATCTAACGAGGAAAAAACCACTTTATGGCAGCAAATTCTGATCCGAGAGCTTCCCCGGGATAGCACACCTCCCCTGCGCGACCCAGGAGTTCGCAGAGGCAGCCTCACAACGGCAGCTTTACCATGAATGAGGCATCCTGATTTCGAGGTAACATCAAAAAAGGGATCACAGAAATGATTACCCTCTGGTAAACTAACATAGCTATAGAAAATCACCATTTTGAATAGGTAAATAAACTATTTTTATGGGGTATTTTCAATACCGAATTGTTAAATTACCAGAGGGTAATGAGAGTGGCTATACCATACCTGTTTCATCCAATTGGTGGAAGCGAGCTTTGACGGATTCACCAACGATCCAGTGCTTCTCCCTATGTGCTCCTGGTTGTCTCACCATGTTGGTGTCAACAAAAAATATCACTTGCTGGCGACTTCATCCCACCTCAAGTATATAGCTATAGTGAATAAACAAATATACATCATCCCAGGATATGGCAGGAAAGGACTCACTAAATTCCAGCAAATCAATCATTGTTGATTATCATCCCAAGAACAAAACATAAAAATCCAATCCGTGCCGTTGAAAACATTGAAAACTGGTTTCCGCTCGGGTTTCCCCGTTTTCAGAACACACCCCTTAGCCGTGTAAAGAAAAGACCCTACCCCATCCGATTCTGTACTTGTTGGGTAGGGATTCCCTGTTGATGGATTGTGACTATTTGAATATTGGTTAGTATAACTCCCTCTGCTAACCAACCAACAATCATTTATCCATAGTTTCACCTTTATGAAACCCATGTAAATTCATGGTAAAGCCGCCCTTGCAATAGCCAATAAAAACAATGTCAGAATCTAGTGTTAAAAAAAAAACATTCATCATTAAAACCCATTAACATTCATTCACCAAGTAAATCTCTTTCTGCTGAAAACAAAAAATTATGGCGCTGGCTCGACAAGTTGCCGAAGAGGGCCAGCTGCACCCGGCTCTCGCGCTCTGCTTGCGCCGCTCCCAGCAGCAAAGATTCCACCACCGTGCCGAAGAGCTGCGGCTCCAGCACTGATGCCTGGTGCATGGCGTACGGCGCCGGAGACCAACCCTAACCCACATTAGTGTAGTATAGTATAGTATAGTATAGTATAGTATAGTATAGTATGGTATAGTAAAGTATAGCATGGCATAGCATAGCATAGTATAGTATAGTATTAGTGTATTAATTTAGTATTAGTATGAGTAGTAGCATGAGTATTAGTATTAGTATTAATTTTAAATAAGAGTTTTAGTAGTATTAGTATTAGTATAGTAGAATCAAACCAGATATAGACTTTGAAGCAAATAACAAATGTAACAAACACAAGTACTTGTTGTTTGTGCATTGGTGCATTGTTCACTGGGGCCATGCAGTGAGAATCCCATGGTTTCAACGATCCGTCTCCCCACCTGCTGATCCACGATGCCATTCAAGCAGTAACCTCATCACATATCGATGCGTTCCGAATGGCATAATCAAAGATCCACAAAGAAGTTCTGTGACTTAAGGTCTTTATCATGACTTATCCTACTTCCAATGGGACAACGCTGGAAAACCCAACACGTTCCATAACATGTTCCATCTCCATAAGCACGTCAGTCCGCAGCAAGAAGCAAAGTTCCTCCGCCAGACTCGGCGCAAAGCGCAGCCGCAGCACCGCCACCTCGAAGAGGGCCGCCTGCTAAAGCTATAGAAATTCCGTGCAAAAAATGAGTGAAACCGAGTCAAATGAGGATGTTGGGATAGTTGAAGTACCATATACATAATCAAAAAAAACTATCGTGAAGCTGAGGGTCTAGATATTCATCTAATGATTGATCGATGAATTTTGGTATATCACAATGGGAAGTGTGACCTTCTCTATGATTTCAGTATCAAATCTGAGCTGATCATGTCCGTGGCTGGAAATTAGGAACCTCCTTGACATCAGCGTCCGCAGAAAAAACAATCCTGTTCATTGCTTCAGACCCATTCCAAGTATTCCCAGAGTAGTCAGTTGGGATTCCATAAATATTTATGTATAATATATATATATATAATATGGAATTTGATCCCCCAAATGGCAATTTATTGATGCTTAACCAGTGGATTTCGCCGCTTCCCATGTCGAATCTCGAATCGCCGCCTGGGACTCATCGGGCACCGCAGCAGGGTTCACATCCAACAAACGTCCCAGGGCCCAGGCAGCAGCAGACGCTTCAAAGAGCTCTTGGGCTTTCAATGCCTGGGATCTTCGCCGTGGCCGTGGCCGAGTCGAAAGTGAGATTTGATCTGGGCTGAGAGATGTGGAAAACATCATTGACCTTCAAAATTCCCAACGCCAGCCAAATCGCTATATATATATAACTATATATATATAACTATATATGATACACTGTACACTTTTATACACATAAAAATCATAAAATCATTCACAGTAGGCAATGTGTGAGGTAACTGTTGGTTATCATATAAAGCATATGTGGAGCATCTGGCTGTGTCTGAAACTATGTGCTCCCCATTAGCTTGGGGCTATATCAGCTATATCCATCTTTTTCACCACACAGCTGGATCCGCCTCCAGCAGACGTGGCAGAGCCGAGCGAATCAAGGGCTGCAGGGTTTGCATTGCTGGACCCTCCTGCATCAAGTCTGGAAGCCATCCCTATCTGGTTGGTGGTATACCTACCCCTCTGAAAAATATGAGTCAGTTGGGATGATTATTCCCAATATATGGAAAATATTAGTCAATGGGAGGGATTTTCCCATATATATATATATATGGAAAATGAAAAAATATGAGTTCGTCAGTTAGGATAATGAAATTCCCAACTGAATGGAAAAATGAAATATCTGGTCCAAACCACCAATCAGCTATTGATCATGTTTAATATTAGGATGAAGGGATTATTCCCATGTTTTTCTTCAGGGTAGATGTGGTCCATTTACAAGATCATTTACATCCGATAATGATATAGATCGATGTAGTCCATTGTAGGTACATATACCATACATCGAGCAATGTGAATTCAAAAGAACCAAGCCTCATTGCAGCCACAAGAGTGCCACAAGTACATCAGCATTTCAACTCTTTTTTGTTAGGCCGCGGTCATGAAAAACCATTGAAAAACCATCCTCCTATTTAGGATCTGTTTCAGGAGCTTTCGTTCAGATTCTGTTTGTTCCACCAGCTTTCCAACCAGGAACCTGAATTGCACCAAATGCCAGCAGCGCAGCTCGCCGATGCCATATCTCCTGAGGCTTTTTCACCAGATATTTCCATCAAGATGATTCTGGTTTTTAAACATATATATATATGT